AACGCTTCAACCGTTGTCGAAAACCAAACTTTCGGTGCAGGCGTGACAAAAAAACTATATCAATACGACAATAAATCCGGGTGTGAGGGGCTGAATTCACATTAGGGGGTTAGCTCCCCCTCTATTTGTACCTAAGCTTGTAGGAATACCGTCAACTCTAGCTATTGTATACGTTTAACGTTTCTAATGTTTCTATGACCCCCTCCCAACACATTAAAAATACTAGTATCTATATCCGTGCTATTAGTAAGTTCAGGTCAAAAATTATACTATATCATCTTTTCATAATATTGTTATTTTTTGTTATCAAAACGTGAAAAATGTGAGCTTCGTTTTTTAAAATTTTGGTATCTAATTTTATTCAAAGTTACGTATTTTAAAGTATGTATAAATTAAATTTTTCTTGTGCACAATTTAGTTATATGCACAATTGTTTATCATAAATATTCATACGAGAATAATAAAAAATCTGCAAAATAATAGATCGGTATACAGTGAGACAAATAAATACTGTTGTCTCACTGTACCCAACATCAGTTAACTCTAAAACAAGACTGTTGAAATAAATTGTGATCATAATAAAGTGATATTAGGTTATGATTTTTATTTAATTTTTAAAATTTAAACATAAAACTATTGAAATAAACAAAGTGAACACCTACATTTTTTTAATTGTACAAAAACACAATTAATTATTTTAAAATTTGTTAAAAAAATTCTCTTTAATTGTTTTATCATATTATATAAATGTTGTGAAATGAAAAGTTTAAATATAAAGGATAAACTACAAATTTAAAAGGTTTTATATTATGTAGCCTCAATGTGTACAAGGCTGGGTCACAGTGAGACACTACGACATTTAAAAAAAAAATTTCTCTGGGTTGAAATTTCGTTAAATKTTAGAATATACTAATATGTTTTTTAATGCCCAATAATATTTAGAATAAAAACATAGGTAACGCTGTTGAAGGGTTATCACTTACAACAAAAACAATATTTAAAAAGTAATTTTTAGTGTCTCACTGTGGCCACCTCTCCCCTATATATAATATAACTCACAGGTGCAATTTTCTAAAAAAAAWTTTTTTTTWAGGGAAAAAATAAACACAATACCTATATCTATTTTAAATCATATGTCAACATTCAATATACAACGATTGCATGCATTATCTGTTAAGAACTGTAAGATTAGATAGGTAAGTAAGAATATTTT